CCTGCCTTTGTTTTACTTACAAGGTCGCCTCTAGTCTGCTCCCCAGTTGTCCAGGCCCATATCCAATGATTTGGGTGAGGGGTGATGTTAACTATGGCATCTCTTGCATGTCCCTGATGAAATAAAGAACAGCAACAAATAACTTCAACCTATCCAGGCCACAGCACACATGGCAGAACACGTTTGCAGAAGAGCAAGACTCACCCACTTTCCTGGCAAGTCCACTACAATCTTGTGATGAGCCAGTGTCTATGCAATCTCAGCGCAGCCTTGCTAACCACCACAGTGGTAATACAACCACCCCAGCACACCTCTCTATATCTTCTGAGCTCAGCACCTACACCTGCGAGAGGGTCACACTCAGCTAACTCAGATTCTTGAAAGCCATGAAGCATCCATTAAGGAAATCCTTCTTTCCTCAGTACCCATCACATTAATTTGTTCAGTTCAGCAGTAGCTTCCATCACCCCATTTCTACTCACTTCATTACACGCAGCTTACCTTCCTCCCAGTCCCTTGATAAATTGGGCTTAACAGGACTTACTTTTCCATAAAGTTTTGAGTTCTCCCAAAACGTGAAATACTCTTACGATAAGTCCAGCACATTCCCTTTTGTTAAAGGGACTGAACGCAGACTGAAGGAAGCTCAAGACCTTCAGCAATGTCAGCGCAGGTGGAAGAGCTTCTCCCAGCCTCTGCTCTGCTCCTGTGCCTAGACTGATATCTGGGAAGAGAGTGCCCTGGAGACTGCCAGATTCGCTTTAAGAGACCTGGGGAAAAAAATCTTGTTCCTTGGTGAGAGATCATCTGCCTCCATCATCTTCAGGCCTGTCGAGTCACATCCTGTGCTCATGACACTCGTGCCCTTGACTCCCACCTCCCTCTCCCCGCGGTCACCCAGTGGCCACTGCAACTCACATAGAGGTCTGCAGCCATGGTCTTCCTCCTGCATGCCTCTGTCCTGTGCTCCAAAGCATATGCAGAAGGAGCTGCCTCTCCCATTAGAGGCGCACCAGCATGCTGCATGGGGTCAGAGAGCGAGAGTGCAATCACAGCACCATGCCAGGACAGGGGAACGAGAGCCGATTACCAGGGGCCTTTGCTCCGAGGAAGCGCACGTGCTGGCTGCAGCCCATCTCTCTCTGTCTCATCTCACACCCACACGCCTCAAATTGTGTGACCCTGTGCAAAGGCACACTAAGGAGAGCCATGTATCACGGCAGAAGAAAGCTGAGAGCTCTGCGTCTTATTCAAGCTCGCCCTGCCAACATAAAAAGGTTAGATGAAGACCGTGCAGGTCTTCTGGTGGCCAGACGTGCTAAATCAGCACCTGGGTTCTTCTTGAAAGACGACAGCGCAGAAGCTTTAAATAACTTACTCAGAAACCAAACCTCTAGGTTATTCATATCAGAGATGATTAGCTAAACGCTCTCTTTGCGACAGAAATCAAGAGTCTAAAAAGTGAGTAAAGAGTTTCGTGAGAGGGGTGAGTGCTGGACCTCACTGTGTTTTCAAAGCTTCCTATGAAATCCTGCAGCCTGGCTTTACTGACAGCATCGCCATCACACATAGCAAGACAGAGAAAAACACAGAACCATAGCTCTTAAAAAGAGTTTCTATTATCCAAATATGTTGACAGCCTAGGCCATCTGGCAGAAATCACCTTCAGGGCTTGCACACAGTATTTACCAGCTGTCAGAGAATCTCTTTTGAATGACTTATCAGGCTAGAAGAACACGCCTCTAAGCAGTTCCCTCACTTCAGGAAGTTGTAACTTGGATATCAAAAATAACTGAAAAGTCACATGCCAATGGCACAGGCAAAACTTTAAAAATCAAAAAAAAAAAAAGACACATGCATTCAGAGGCTGCATTAACTTGTAGTTTCCCACATTAAGTAATCTGTTATCAAAGCCAAAGCCAGCACACCTGCCCCAGGAGATCACCCTTCCACAGCAATACACACTGCTGCAGATGTAATGAGACTAACGATGTCCTAGCTCAGGAGCACGTGTAAAGTCACAGGCGACTTATTTGACATAAAAAATGCATGTAATGAGATTCATTTGCTGAATTCCTTTGTGATTTCTTTCACTCGGTGGAAATGAAGAACAGAAAAGAAGATCTCTTCCAAAAAAAAGATAATTCATTTGGTAACGGCTGTTCTGACCTGAATACACTTGCACAGGCTTTACGTCTGGGGAAAGAGATAATCCTCAGGCGAACAATGGGAACAGTAAGTTGGACCAAAAGGAAAAAAATTCATTTCAACCTGTTTGCCCACAGAGCTGCACTTGAACACTTTCTCCTTATTTTTTAACTTTGCATATTGCAAGCCAAACGTATTTTCTCAGCAAGACAATGCTTTAAATTACATTCACTGTGAGCACATCAGATATTGTTCCCAACAAAGCAGCCACTAAAGGGAACCCGGGTCATCTCCAACTGTGGCAATCAACTATAAATGCTGGAAATTATAATAAGAAAAAGAACAGGTGATCAAAAAAAGAGCTGAACCAGTCTGAAACAAAGCCCCAAACCCACGATGTCCTCAGGACAGGGCAGAGGAACACATTGTACTGGAGCCCACTGACTTTGTGACTGTATGTCATTCTGGCAACACTTCCAATGCAAAAGAGGTGGTGAAGTAACTGCTGGAAAAGACTGGGGGATTAAGCGTTTACCAGCATCACACAGACAGCTCTAGCTATTTGCGGTCTCATCTCAAGGAAAACATCTACCACTAAACCAAACACCATGAGAGCACAGCAGAGTTCAGGAGAATTTACACACAAGGATGCATGGCAAACCTTGTCCCTGTCTTGAGCCTCCTGTACTGAAGGACAGGAAGGACAGATAGGCCATTTATAGTCTACTGTTGTGGGAGAAGACTGTAAAAAAGACAAAGATTCACTATGACAAGGGTGAAAATCAGAATCACAGCCTTACCCTGTGGCTGCGCCCGCATGAGCTAGGAAGGGGTACTACACTGTCACTTAACGCTAGCTATGCTGTGTCTCTGCAAAGTCCCATCAGGCTGTCGTAATGCAAAAACAACCCCAAGCACCGGAGAGATACAGTGTCCTGCTGGGGACAACACCTAGAAGGGGGCCAGCAATGTGCCTGCACTCTCAGCCTGCTGTGGTATCTATTTTTGCTCTTTTTTTTGGCCAACATATGCAAAAAAAAAAAAAACCATTGTTCTTAACATTCATTTTTTACACCCTTCCCTACCCTCAAAAAAATTGATATGGAAAACATTAACCTGTTTGCCAGTGTCTGTTTTGGGCATTTCTTGACCCCAGGAGGTGACACTTGCAGCCAAAAGGGCAAAACTTCCTTTGCTGCAGCTTAGGGCAGGATCTACCGTCTCCCGAGCTGCCTCATCCCTTCACCTCGCTGCAGCGAGGCCGTGAGCAAGGCGCCG